ATCTGTCAGTTAGGTCTAGAAGCCTTTGGACCGAGTTTTTTGGGTCTTCTATGTAAAGTATCATATCATCAGCAAATAATGACAGTTTCACTTCTTCCTTTCCTATCTTTATTCCTTTTATTCCTTTCTCTTGTCTAATTTCTTTTTTTTTTTTTTGGTACCAGGGATCAAACTTGGGCCCTTGCGCTTGCACAGCAGGCAGCAAAACCACTGAGCTAAATCCCTGGCCCTGCATGCTTTCAATGGAGTTTTTAATCTCCTGAATATCTATTTGAATCTGTATCATGGATTCCATTTCGTTTTATGTTGGGAGATCATGGTTTCCATCTCTTTCTTATGCTGGGCATTCATGGCTTCCAGCATGTTTCTGAGCTCATCTGTTTTTTTATCAGTTTCTGTTCTAGAGCCTCTAGTCATGTCTTTCCCTCTGCTCACCATCTCTGTAGTTATCTGGGAGATTATTTCTGCTTTTAACTTTTCTAGAGCCTCATTCATCTGTTTTGTTACTTCCTGTGCTATCAGTTCAGGGTGTCCAGGTGGTTGATTATCAGACTTTTTCACCTTATTTCCCTCAGAATTTGCCTTTTCTGTGGTGGAAGCCTGAGTTGGTGCCTTTCTTAAATGTCTTCTCATTTTTGTTTTTGGTACTGTCCTTGGTTTAATTCCTGGGTTGATATTTCAAAATTGCTTAATGTAGGTATCTTTGTTGCTTGTGTTTAAAACACGTGTAGAATGATTGCTTTTCAGAGGTGTCTTCCAGATATAGCTGGTCTTTAGGTTTTGAGACTCTAATGACTCTGAGGCTATTTCATTTTTATTATACCAGGAAGGACAACTGATTAGATCAATCACAACATCTTAGCCCAAGTGATACAATTAGCAACACCATAGCATCAAGCACAGCTTAGAAAATGACAATTTGTGGTAGTTATTAATCTATCACATTTAACTGTGTGAATTAAATTAAAACCAAGGACCAACCCAACATATGTTTATAGTGAATAAACTCTTCAATATAGCAACTTTACCCTTCGGGATGGGGAGTTAGAAGGAGTTGGGGAGGGAGGGACAGATAGAAAGATCAGGAAAGATTCGTGGTGAGGCCAGAAGACACAGGAAGATCACACAAACTCTAAGAAATTGTTAAAGGCAAGAGGAAAAGGCAGAATGAAAGAACAAAGACATGAACAGAACCACCTAACAGCAATAGGGAGGCTAGATACTGTATTTACTTTCCTTTAAAACTAATGATAATCAAGAGAAGGAAAAGGAGAAGAGAAGAAAAATAAAGGAGAAATACAAATTCAGTCCAGAAAGGAACAAATGGGGAGATGAAGAGCAATGTGGGACAGTGAGAGAACAAGTGAGAGAGAAAGAAAGAAAGAAAGAAAGAAAGAAAGAAAGAAAGAATAAAAGAAAAAAAAGAAGAGAAAAGTAAAAATTTGAAAAGAGTAGAAAAAAGTAAAAATTTAAAATTAAAAATAAGAGAAAAACATTTTTTTTCTTTTTTGCAAATAACAAAAAATAAAAATGAAGGGCCTCCTTCAGGATATGTCTCTGTTGTCACAGTAGGCAATGTAGGCAACCGTGTGCATATACAAGTCAAGGAGTCTCAGCAAGCCAGCAGCAGACCTGTGAGATTCAGTCAGATTTCTGGCTGCTAGTCCCAAGTTGAGCTCCCTGTCCTCCTGCAGGGTTGAACTCTGCAAAGTTCTACTGCAGGTTCTGGTTACCCTTCCCCTGAAGATAGTGCAGGTTCTGATGGGAGTTGATGATCCCTCCAACTTACGAAGTACAGTGGTCAGGTGTGCCTTTATTGTAGAGATTCTTTTTACTTTTCCGCTGAGCTTCAGTTTTCATCGAGGAGCCTGAGAGGCCCTCTTTCTGTTGCTAACTTCTGCTCTATCTTGTGGCACTCAGGACAAGGGCCTTTATAATCCCCTGTGCCTCTGTAGTGTGGAACCAGGTAGCAGAAGAGCCAGGAGGCCAGAGGCGGGGGCGGGGGCCAGGGCGTGGGCGGGAGGGTGCCGGACTGGGCCCTGCAGGCTCTCGCGCAGCTAAGTGGAGCATGGAACGGAGCGGGGGCTCCAAGCCGAGCCTGGGTCCTCATTGTGCCGTCATATTCATTTTTGTTATCCAAACCCTTCCACTTAAAAAATACAATGAGTGTTTTGCGGGTTATTAATAATCTTCTCGTGTGATGCAGTTTTCAGTGACTACATAGAAATCCATCCATCACTTCCTTAAGTAATTCTCCACAGGGAGATGGCTAGTTATAGCTTTTTACTATTATAAGTGATATACTTAATAAACATCCTTTTTTTTTTTTTTTTTTTTTTTTGGTGGGTCTAGGGATTGAACCCAGGGCCTTCACACTGAGCCACATCCCTAGCCCCTTTTAATTTTAATTATTTTATTTTATTAATTTTTTTTTGAGCCAGGGTCTCCCTTTGTAGTTCAGGCTGGCCCTGAATTCACTATGTAGCCCAGGCTGGCCTTGAACTCGTGGTGATCCTCCTGCCTCAGCCTCCCAAGTGCTGGGATTATAGACGTGTGCCACCATGCCCAGCTATTTTATTATGATTTTGTTGTTTTGTTCTTTTGAGATAAGCTCTCACTATGTAGTTTAGGCTGGCCATGAACTCACAATGTAGTCCAGGCTGGCCTCAGACTCATGACAATCTTGCCTCAGCCTCCTGTTTGCTAGGATTACAGATGTGCACTACCATGCCCAGTCATTTGGTCAATTTCTTTCTTTCTTCGTTTTTTTTGTTTGTTTGTTTTTTGGGGGTTTTTTGTACCAGGGATTGAACTCGGGACCTTCAGCTTGCAAGGCAGGCGGCACCACCAACTGAGCTAAATCCCGGCCCTTGTCAATTTCTACTAAAATAAAAGTCAGCTAAGATTTTGATTAGTATTGCACTAAATCTGTGCATCAATTTGGGGGAAATTGACCCCCAAAAAAGGTACCAAAAAATTTAACTTAGTAGCTCCAGAATGAGGACAAAAAACCTGCTTTTTTTTTTTTGGTACCAGGGATCAAACTCAAGATCTTGTAGGCACAGTGCTGCTGAGCTAAATCCCCAGCCAGAGAATCTGCATTTCCACAATCAGCTTGGGTTATTCTTAGGCAACTGGCCTCACTGATCACACCAAGAAATGGGCTGAGAAATACTCTAAAACTACAACTTAGGGGAACTGGTGGCTGATCATTTCTGCCAACCTCTAAGACAAGTATACTTTTAACCTGGAAAAGACAAAGCTAGGAAGTGACAATAACTCTCTTGTATGTCAGTTTCTGGAAATTAGGTTGTAATACTGACAATAATGTAATAATGAGAGTGATGGATGAATCTTCAGTTTTATAGAAAATGAAATACAGCAAACTAAGGAGAAAGGGCCTTCAGTTGATCAGTCGAGGCAGCCTCAGGTCGGAGAACCATTACCCGTGAAGACTGGAGCTCACGTCCGCTTAGATACACCGGTAAACCCGGGGTGGGGGTGGGGGGGGCCTGCCAGAGCCCAGAAGAACGTATCAACTTTCTGAATTTTTCCTTCCCAGCACTGACGTTCAAAGGCTTGAAACGAGTAAAGGTCCTAGGAGACAGATCAGTCTGCAAAAGTTCGTTCGTGCCAGCTCAGATTTCCCCGGAAGCCGACGCCACCTGGCCAGAGGTGGGGTCTGGGCTACCAGCAGGAGGCCCTCCGGGTGACTCGACGGAGTCACCCGGCCCGGGCTGCACCCTCCTCCTATCCCGCCCTCCGGATGGACCCATCATCAATAATTCATTAAGAGCCTCCTCTCCATTGGCTGGCGCCTCCACCCCCTCTGCCAGAGGCCCAATGAGGAAAGGCCTGAGAGAGGTCTTCTGAATATTAAACAGGCGTCCGTGACGTATCGGTCGGTGATTGGCGGTGCCGCCGGAGGCGGGACCAGGCGAGCAGGGTGAATGCGGCCGAGGCTTCCCAGTGCGAGGCGTGGAGGGTCCGGCGCGGTGCGGATTCTAGTGCGGGGCGGCTCCGGGAGGGCTCGGCGGCGGCCGGCGGCAGGATGTTCAACTGGATGGGCCGGCAGGCGGGCGGGCGCGAACACGCAGGCGGCGCGGACGCGGTGCAGACGGTGACGGGCGGCCTGCGCTCTCTCTACCTGCGCAAGGTGCTGCCGCTGGAGGAGGCGTACCGCTTCCACGAGTTCCACTCGCCCGCGCTGGAGGACGCCGACTTCGAGAACAAGCCCATGATCCTGCTGGTGGGCCAGTACAGCACCGGGAAGACCACCTTCATCAGGTACAGCAGCTCCCGCCGCCTACCCGCGTCCTCCCGGCTCCCGAGGAGCCCCGATCCCCGCCCCGACCCGCCCCGCCCCGCCCCGGGCGCGACCGCCTAGCCTGGCTGGCTGTCCCCACGGCTGGCGTCTCCGAGGGCCCCTTCCTGCCCGCTCCCCCCCACAGACACACACGTCCTGGGCCCTGGAAGGGGGACAGCGAGGCTGTCATCGGCCTCTCCTGGAGAGGGGCTGTGCCTGGGGCGGGGGGGGGGCGGGTGGTGGAACAAGGCAGGCAGGACTTTACTGTATGAATGAATGAGTGCAAAGAGAGGGCGTTGCTCAGCTCCCTGCCCTGAGAACCCGGGTGCCACCTCCCCAGGGTCCACCTCGTCCACAGCCGGGTCTTTACCATCTGGCCCTAGGAAGTTAGCAGAATGTAGCCGCACCAGCCTGTGGAACTAAGGGAAGTGTCGTGTTACTATTTGTTAGTTTCCATTTCTTTCATTCCCTCCTCCCTCTCCCTTGACAACTGAAAATATTTGTCATGGCTGTGTCCCCGGAAGCAATTACTGTACTCGCCCTGCGGCTCAAATCATATAGCTTTCTCTGAAGTGACTTTTGATGAGAAATAATTTTTTTTAGTTCTTTTATTGGTACACTTTAGGTATACAATTCGTTTACATTTATCATTGGGTGTTTGTACCTGTACATGATGTATCTTGGTTCTTATTTTTTTTCCCCCATTACCTCTGCACCCTTCACCCCCTCTGCCCTTCCCTATTTACATAGATTTCACT